CTTTAACATCTTTGTAATGTTTGATATAATGTAAATGTAAAATGGGGGCTGAAGAGATGCCTCAGTGGATAAGAGCTCTGGCTGCTCTTCCAGAGGACCTGGTTTGATTCCCAGCACCCACATGGCAGCTCACAACTGTCTGTAACTCCAGTTGCAGGGGCTCTGACCCCTTTTTCTATTCTCTGTAGGCACCAGGCATGTGCATGGTACACAGAAATGCATGCAGGCAAAACATCCATACACATAAAATTAATAATAATAATAATAATAATAAGAAGAAGAAGAAGAAGAAGAAGAAGAAGAAGAAGAAGCATGGTGGTACAAACCTTTAATCCCAGAGCTCAGGAGACAGAGGCAGGAGGATCTCTATGAGCTCTAGGCCAGAGTGGTCTATATCACAAGTTTCTGTCCAAGTTCTGATCCAGTCATGACTTCAAAAAAACAAAAAGGGAGAGGTGCAGAGAAGCTTGTGGCTTGGATCTAGAAACCTGACTGGGGATGGCAAGGGGTTGGAGAAGGGACAGTAAAACTGAAGTGTTATGTACAAGAGCACAGAAAAGCTGGCATCAGCTGGGTGGTGCTCACGCTAAGGAAGCAGCACCAACTGCCTCAACAATTCTGAACCTCCGTGTGTTTATTATGTACGGCGTTGGGATGGGTGTCAGCTAATCTCCGTAGGAAAACAGGAAGAAAGGGGAAGGAAGCTACAGTTGCTAGTTTTTGTACACACTCTTCAATCATCTGTAAATACTTGTACTTGGATAAGGAACGAAGGCTAGGCCATTTCCCATGAGTCTGAGGCCTTGATCCTTTTAATGGCTGTGCGTTCATTCAGAATATCACTCACTTGGCTTCCGGCTTCCTCCTCGCCCTACAGAAAGGAGCTACAGAGATGGCTCATCAGAGAAGAGTGCTTAATGCTCTTGTAGAAGACCCAGGTTGGGTTCCCAGCACCCACAAGGCGTCTCAAAAACCATCCGAAACTCTAGTTCCAAAGGATCCAGTGCCCCCTACTGGCCTCTTTTGGCTCCTGCATACAGGTAGTGCACTTATAATCATGCAGGCATATGCACATACACATAAATAAAGATAAATCTTTTTTTTTTAAACAAAGGATAGGAAGCAGCACTGGAGTGTACATGGTTATAGAAAGGGCCATGTGAGATCATAGCATGGTGTCCATTTGCAAGCCATAAAGAGGTCTCACCAGGAACTAACCTTGCTGGCATCTTAATCTTCTATTCTAGCTTTCCGAAGTGGGAAAAGAAAGTTCTATCATTTAAGCCACCTGTGGTATTTTGTGTTAGAGACCATAGCACATTCCTCAAGGTACAGATACAGACATCCTCTGCTCATACCAATTTACTATATCCCATAATTCATTGTGCTGCTTCTCAAACGTTTTCTTGGGAGCCAAGTGGTGGTGGCACACGCCTTTAATCCCAGCACTTGAGAGGCAGAGGCAGGCAGATTTCTGTGAGTTCGAGGCCAGCCTGGTCTACAATGTGGACAGCCAGGACTGTTACACAGAGAAACCCTGTCTCAAAAAAAAAAACAAAAAAAAAGGTTTTCATGGGGACAGCTCAGCGGGTAGAGGCTGACTACGTGAATTCCATCCTAGGACCCCACAAGGTGGCAGGACAGAAGCAGTTCTAACTTCCACATAAACATGGTGTGCACTTACACATACGTACCACAAAAACAAGTTAATTTTTTTTAACAGGGTCTCACTATGTAGCCCTAGCTGGCCTCAGTTGTCCTGCCTCTGCTAGCTGCTGAGATTGAAGGCACACACCATCATGCTCAGCCTTTTAAGGTGTTTTAAAATTTTCCCTTTAAAATTTTTATTTTCCGGAGTTGAGGACTGAACCCAGGGCCTTGTGCTTGCTAGGCAAGTGTTCTACCACTGAGCTAAATCTCCAACCCCTCAGCCTTTTAAGTTTTAAAAAATTATATTTATGAAAAAGGGAAAAACTACTTTGATTATTTATTTATTTGGTTTTTGTTGTATGTTTAATGAGGCAGGATCCTTCTATGTAGCCCTGGCTATTCTGAAACTTGCTGTGTGAAGTAAGCTGGCCTTGAACTCACAGAGCTCTGCCTACGTCTGCCTCCCAAGTAACAGTGTTAAAGGAGTGCCCCACTATGCCTGGGAAAATGTGTATATTTTCTCTTCTATAGTGCACTATATGGCCTCAAAAACAGGAGTCGTGTATTTTAAATTTGTCTGCCTAGCACAGTATTCAAAGCAGTATACTTACCTTCTCGGTTACGTATTTTGTAATGACTGTTTAGAAATGGAAGTAGCAAAATTGCATTAGTAGTTAAATGGTATTGAGTAAAAGTATGGCTTTGCAGTTGTCTTTACTGGAGGTTATGTACTTTTAGCAGAGAGAAGTGGGAAATTGACAACGATTGGATCATGGGCCCATGCCCCAGCAGAGTCCCAAACATGGAGTGAAACAGCTCCTCCTCAGTTATTGTCATTTCTCCTCACTGTGGCCTCCTGACAAGGCCATCTGGGTGGTCTCCACAAGAATTTTAGCTGCTTACCATCTACACACTAGTAGCTCCAGAACCTCCTGTATTTCAACTTTGCTGATGTACCTGGTGGTGAAGACTTACTCTCAGCTGGGACTAAGGGTTATATTCATACAAAAGTCTCCTCAACTGTAGGAACACACTGACTGGCTGCTGTTCAGGGCATGACTGGTTTTTATGACAAAAAGAAACCCACAATTTAAAAGAGAAATTTGCCTGTAATGGTATCATGACTGGACATCTCAGGAATGTAGAAGTTGTTCAGCCTCAGGGTGGCCAAAGATAAACATACCAGTTTTTCTCTTTCAAGGTTGGCTAAGTCAAGGAGAGAGCTCAACACTCATGGATTCTAAAATGAATATAAATAAGGGGAGAATGTCTTTGAATGACTTTCTTCTCTAGGACCTGCTCTGGCTGTCCTGTGATTTTCCGTAGTTAACAATGGCCATTTTAATTTTACTCACTGAAACTCTTATTCCCATCTGCATGGTTACAGGAAGCGCAGGTTATACAGCCTAGTAACACATGAGAGAGAGCTGCAGTAGGACAGTAAACAAACCATATGTTCCTCTTGTAAAAAAGAATGAATTGGGATCGTTTGCTTTATGTTGACTTCACACTTCAGTGTGGTCTGGTGTCCAGTTACCTGATCAGAGACTACCATAGGTGTTGCTATGAAGTTACTTTGTAGATGTAGCTAACACCCACGATCCCTTGACTTAAATAAGATTGTCCTTGGTTCTCTGAGTGGGCCTCATCCAATTAGGATGATCCATTAAGAAAAGCCTAAAAGCAAACTAATGTTTTCTTAATGAAGAAGAAATGAGTCCTTGACACTGCAACCACTCTTCCCCTAGAAGTTACAACCAGCCAGCATATTCTGCTTGTTTTGAATTTGCCAACCCCTCCTATTGTGTGAGCCATTTCCTTCAACCTTTAATATAACACCCCAAGGGTGGTGATGGAGGCACACACTTGTAATCCCAGCGCTAGAGAAGTGGCAGCAGGAGAATCAGAAGCTCCAGGCCATCCTTGGCTACACAGTGAGTTTGAAGCCATCCTGAGCTACTTGAGACCCTGACTTTAAAAAAGAAATTTTGGCTGGGCTTGACGGCGCATGCCTTTAGTCCCAGCACTTGAGAGGTAGAAGTAGGTAGAGCTCTGTGAGTTCGAAGCTAGCCTGGTCTACAGAGCAAGTTCCAGAACAGCCAGGACTGTTACACAGAGAAACCTTGTGTTGAAAAACCAAATATATAAATAAATACTATAAACTTAGTATATATGTAATCTCCTGCTTCTATTTTTCTGGAGGACCCTGACCATTACAAACCCCTATCGGCTGCATTTACCGTTTGTATGATCTGTCTGCTGTTGCTATAACAGAACTCATGAGACGGGTAGTTATAACGAAGCTTACTTGGGGCTGGTGAGGTGACTCATGGGCAAGCCTGAGGACTGAGTTCAGTCCCCAGAGCCCACGTGGTGAAAGAGAGTACCCAGTCTCACAGCTTTTCCCTGACCTCTGCATGTGTGCTCAGCAACTGCTCAGTTCCTGGTGAGCACCCCATGATGTTTATATATGGCGTGAGAGCAGAACTGGAATCTAGCATGTGCCAAAAAGGGAGAGAAGAAGCTGACCTACTTTTTTGGTTTTCTTTTTTCGAGACAGGGTTTCTCTGTGTAGTTTTGGTGCCTGTCCTGGATCTCGATCTGTAGACCAGGCTGGCCTCGAACTCATAGAGATCCGCCTGGCTCTGCCACCTGAGTGCTGGGATTAAAGGCGTGTGCCACCACCGCCTGGCAGAAGCTGACCTACTTTATAGTAACCTACACTCTTGAAAACTTACCAGTCTCATGACAAAGACATTGATCCCCTTTTTCATAGTTTTTGACAAATAACACTGGTCTCAAACATAATGAAGTAATAGAATATTCTAAATAAAAGGATATGTGGGGCTCTGAAAACAATTTCGTATTTCTCAGTTTATTACTTTTAGTATTTGTTTGGGTTGGGAGGTGGATGTGTGGAGATGAGAGGTCAGCTTTCAGGAGTCAGTTCTCTTCTACCATAAAGGTCCTGGAGCTAGAACTCGGCCAGCAGTTGGGTGGTGGTACCTTTCCTCACCGAGCCATCGTATCCCCTGTTTCTTAGTCACTGTGTGTGAATGGGGGCATGTGCCACGGCACGTATGAGGAAGTCAGAGCAACTTCAGGAGTCAGTTCTGTTCTTTATGGGTTCCAGGCATCAGACTCAGGTCTGGAGGCCGGAATTGCTGGTGCTCTTTTCTCACCCAGCCATCAGAGCTGCTGGCATCAATTCCCTCTGAAAGGCCTCCGTTCATCCGGACATGTCACTGACAGGCGGCACAAACCAACCACATCAGAACCATAACAGTGCTAGACTGTCCACGTGATGCTTGGTCAGAGTGTCACTTTATTGAGACTATGTGTCAACTGAATCATTGTCATCATACTTTTATTAAATTTGGAATCACAAATCTGAGGACACTCAGGTACATTTACTTGACTGAGAGTATTTACACTTTTTGGGTTTTTTTTTTAATGTCATAATATTTTGTTGAAAACTGGACATTTTAGCCGGGCGGTGGTGGCGCACGCCTTTAATCCCAGCACTCGGGAGGCAGAGGCAGGCGGATCTCTGTGAGTTCGAGGCCAGCCTGGTCTACAAAGTGAGTTCCAGGAAAGGCGCAAAGCTACACAGAGAAACCCTGTCTCGAAAAACCAAAAAAAAAAAAAAAAAAAAAAAAAAAAAAAAAAAAAAAAAAAAAAAAACCTGGACATTTTAGATAATAAAGGAAGTCTTGAAAGTTTTAGGTGTTGGATCATTTGATTATACTAAGTGACGTAACCTGTTTTATACTGTGATAATCAGATGACCTGAGGCTAGGCATTATAACTGAACAGAAATGTATTTCTTACAATTCTGGAAGCTGTAAAGCCCAAGATTAAGAAGCAGCCCTAGAAAGGGCTTTCTTGCTGCATCATTTTGTGGTTTTCCATTATATGGTAGGAGAGCAAAGAGAAGGCAAGAAAAGAGGGTTGGGGCAAAGAGATGGCTCAGTGGTTAAGAGCGACTGCTGTTCTTCTAGAAGACCTAAGTTCAGTTTCCGGCACTCACATAGGACAGCTCACAATTGCTCATAACTCCAGCCCCCAGGGATCCAACAGCCTCATCTGGCCTCCGTGGGCATCCACACTCTTCATGTGCAAACAAGCTCACAGGCACGATTGTACACAAAAATAAAATTTAAAAAATAAAAAGAGGTCAAACTCCTCCTTTTGTAAGGAACTTTCTTACAGGAACAACTTACTCCCGCAATAATAGTACACCAGAATTTTGGTGTGTGATGTTTTATTCATATGCAAGTTTTATGATAAAGTTTATTTTAAAAATAAAAATGGAAACACATAAGGGCAGAGCTCTCATAGCTATAGCCTTATCAATTCTGTGAAGCCCCACCTCTTATCCAGCAAGTGGATCACTAGTTAGAGACTACCCTGAACTACATAAACATAAGATCCTATCTCAAAGAAAAACAAGGGTAGAGTGATTGCCTCGCTTGTAGAAAGCCTTGGGTTTGAACCCCAATACTACAGAATATACTGGATATGGTCATAGAAGCCTATAATCCGAGCACTTAGGAGGTAGAGGTAGGAGGATCAGAAAATAAAGGTCATCCTCAGCTACATAATGAGTTCAAGGCCAGTTGAGATTCCCTAGATCCTGCCTCGAAACAAACAAGCCTGGTGTGGTGGCAAATTCCTTCCTTTTGGGAGGCAAAGGCAGGTGGTTCTCTGTGAGTTCCAGGCCAGCCTGGTCCACATAAGAGTTCCAGGACAGGGTTTCTCACACTAGAGAAACATTGTCTAAAATTAAAAAATTAAATAAATGAATAATAGAACAAATTAAAAACCGCTTAAAACTGCTATAATTAGCTGGGACAGTGGTGGCCCACACCTTTAATCCTAGCACTCAGGAGGCAGAGGTAGGTGGATCTCTGTGAATTCAAGGGCTACACAGAGAAATCATGTTTTGATACATCCAAAACCAAAATACCTGCTACAATTAAATCACAAAAAGTTGGAAGACATTCAAACCACAATACTAAAGCTATTATTTCTGATTCCCTATAGTGTATAGCCACTAGAATACCAGTTCAGCCCTATATTTTGATTCATCTTGTTTTTATTTTAAAGGCTGTTTTTATGTTTGTTGGTTTGTGTTTTTTGTTTTCAGCACAGGGTTTCTCTGTATAGCCCTGGCTCTCCTGGAACTCACTTTGTAGACCAGGCTGGCTTTGAACTCAGAGGTCCATCTGCCTCAGCCTCCCACTGGGATTAAAGCCATGCTCCACCACTGCCCCGCTTTTTTTTTTTTTTTTTTTTTTTTTGGTGTTTTGAGACAGGGTTTCTCTATGTAACCCTGGCTATCTTGGAACTCACTCCACAGATCAGGCTGGACTTGAACCAAGAAATCCTCCTGTAAAGACTGGTTTTCTAGGGGTTTCCTCTATGTCTGTATAGTTTAGTATTCAGCCATAAATTAATTCAATATTCATACGCCTTGAGACAGCAAGAGTTTTGTGTACTACTAATGGATCCAAGTGTGCACTGAAGGATTAATTAAAAATCCCACTTGTTTTTATATCTGCTTACCTCTTATTCCATGTGCTTCTCTTTGTTCATGTATGTAGGCATTATCAGCTTGTAATGTTCCCGTGAATTAAGCTACCCAGGTCTTTGGAATATAGGCTCATGGTTTCTGGTCTACTTGGGAAATGTGGAGAGTTTATACAAGCCTCTGTGACTGTGTCACCTTGTGTGAATTTTATCTTTTGTGTGATATATATATATATATATATATATATATATATATATATATATATATATTAGTGTGTGCTATACATGTGAGCATTAGAGCCTCCAATTGCTCTCCACTTTATTTTTTTGAGAAAGGGTTTCTCACTGAATCTAGAACCTGAAGATTCAGCTAGATTGAGTGACCAGCAAATCCATAGGATCCTCCTGTCTCTGCCTCCCCAACATGGTGTGTGCAGTCATGTCTGGTTTTTTTTGTTGTTGTTGTTTGGTTTTGTTTTTTTTAATGTTTATTTATTATGTATATAGTGTTCTGTCTGCAGGCCAGAAGAGGGCGCCAGATCTCATTACAGATGGTTGTGAGCCACCATGTGGTTGCTGGGAATTGAACTCAGGACCTCAGGAAGAGCAGGCAGTGCTCTTAACCGCTGAGCCATCTCTCCAGCCCCATGTCTGAGTTTTGATTTTGTTTTGTTTTACAAAGGTGCTAGTGATCTAGCTCAGGTCCTCGAGCACATCAAGCGCTTTACTGACTGAGCTCTCTTTCCAGCCTTCTTTCCAACTTAGAGAATTTTGGTCCCTGCCTAGTTTGCCAATCACTTGCTGCTTACTCTACAGTCACAGGAAGCCTATTTGCTTTTAGTTGAACTTCGGTGCCTACAGAATGTGGATGGGGACTTCCTGGGAGCTGCATTAATCTGAAATTCAGTAGTTTGTATGAATAAGCACTTAGCAGTTTATGGTAGGTCTTTAATTTTATTTCTAGAGACAACTGTTTTATTTTCAAAATCAAGGTGTTGAGTTTTTCTTTCACTTTATTATTTTGTTTTGTTTTTGTTGGTTTTGTTGTTTTAATTTTTTTAAAGATTTATTATTTTATGGATGAGTGCTCAATCTGCATGTACACCTTTATGCCAGAAGAGGGCATCAGATCTCATTATAGATGATTGTGAGCCACCATGTGGTTGCTGGGAATTGAACTCAGGACCTCTAGAAGAGCAGCCTGTGCTCTTAACTGATGAGCCATCTCTCCAGCTCCATGTTTGTTTTTTGAGACAGGGTTTTTCTGTGTAACAGCCTTGGCTGTCCTAGAACTCACTTTGTAGAGCAGGGCAGCCTCAAACTCACAGAGATCCACTTACCTCTGCCTTCCCATAGCTGGGATAAAGGCATGCACCACCACACCCTGCTAAATCTACACTTTCAGACTTTATCCTGAGGTTTACCTCTGGAGTCTTCAGAATAATTGTCATCTCTGCTCTCCATGCTTTCACAATTCTGGATCCCAAGAATAATGTCTATGTCTTAGAGAAGTGCTCAGTAAAGACCTGTATTCACAATGGGGTAAGGATCTTGTTAGAGAAGGGTACCGTGTGGAGAATTGGGGCATCTATCTCTGAATTTTAGAGTGGTTTCAACTTTCCTTCGTGGCTGACTTAGCATCTTTTTCTTTTAATTTCAGATTTCAGCTCAGTTACCTATGGCTTCCCCTAAAATTGCTTCCCTCTCTTGGGGGCAAATGAAAGTACAAGGCTCTACCTTAACCTATAAGGATTGCAAAGTATGGCCAGGAGGCAGTCGGGCTTGGGATTGGAGAGAAACGGGAACTGAGGTAAGACTCTGGTGATTAGATTAGTTGACACTCCAGGAGGCTGACCAAGTAACTTCCAACCTCCTAAACAGCCAAGGTCTCCCTCTTCTCTGCTGAGTATATTCATTACCATTAAACTTATCCTAATGTAAGGCTGAAAAGATGGCTCAGCAGTTAAGAATACTGGCTAATCTTCCAGAAGACCTGGATTCGATCCCCAGGACTCACATGGCAACTCATCTGTAACTTCAGTTTCAGGGTGTCTAACACACTCTTCTGGCCTCCTCTAGCATCAGGCAATCACATGGTGCACAGACATACATGTAGGCAAAACACCCATACACACCCAATAAACTACACAATGTAATGTAACAGACCCAAAATTCCAATTATATTCATAAGCTTGTACAGTTACTATAATAGTAATCCCAAGATATATTTATTATCCCCCAAAAGAACCCCCACAACCATGAGCAGCCAATACCACTTTCTCCATCCCGCACCTCCAGCTTCTGGCAATGACTAATTTTTTGTTGTTGGGAATTCAGTCCTTAAGGGGCAAAATTCTAGGCCAGATCAGGCTACTGGCTTGGTTGAGAGGAAAGAGACCTAGACACACACCTTGAAATGAGAAGTGGGCATTGGGTGTTCCAGATCCTTCCTGACATGTAGTTTGCCCTTAAAACAAAGCTGTATGTGGGCCTTGTCAACCCTGTATCACAGGTGCAGGATTTAGACCTGGTACAGTTTGGTTCTGAATCTTTTTTTTTTTTTGGTTTTTCGAGACAGGGTTTCTCTGTGTAGCTTTGCGCCTTTCCTGGAACTCACTTGGTAGCCCAGGCTGGCCTCGAACTCACAGAGATCCGCCGGTCTCTGCCTCCCGAGTGCTGGGATTAAAGGCATGCGCCACCACCGCCCGGCTTGGTTCTGAATCTTATGCACTGCCCCACAGGACCTCCCATTCTTGAGAGTGCTGGTCATGGGCAGGCATGCAACAGAAGACCATTTTCAGCCTCCCCTTATTAGTGGGATCATGGGAGGGTTGTTTAAAATGAAGTTCAGGGCTCCTGTGGCCCAAGGCTGGAATGAGGGAGGCTAAAATCACTGCGGAGAACCGCTATCAGAAGTTTCAGCGTACTGTGGCAGAAAAGCAGCCAGTGCCCTGGTAGAATAAGAGATCAGTAGAGAAGCTGTTCATTCAGGCGAGGGGCATTGAGATTACAACTCAGACAGTATCTCCAGGGGACAGAGTCCAGCAATCTTGAACCTTCCCTCAGACAGTATCTCCAGGGGATAGATCCCAGCAATCTGTAACCTTCCCTCAGACAGTATCTCCAGGGGATAGAGTCCAGCAATTGTAATCTCCCCTCAGACAGTATCCACAGGGGATAGATCCCAGCAATCTTGAACCTTCCCTCGCAGAGTCTGCTTTTACCACAGTGCAGCCAGCTAATAGTACTCCTACTATCCATTCACAAGCCTGTAATTTTGGTAGAAGGAAATGATTCTTTGAAAGTTTAATTTAGGCATGTTTCCTTTTCAACTTGATCATAAAATTTCTGAGCCACAAAGGATGCAATCCTCTTGTCTGGCTGCTCTAATGGGTAGCAGTCAAGACACTGTTCTACAATTAATAGCTTCCCCCAAGAAAAAACAACTCAGCTTTACAGCCCTCGGCTGTGTGATAAAAGCCTCTCACTAAAGAACAGAGCCATGCTCAATGAGTGCCTGGTTGCCTTGAGGACCTGGAAGCAAACAGGAGCTGAGGGCAGGTTGAAGATGCCTCGATAACAGTGCGATGCTCCAATTCCAGGTCTCCACAAGAGCCAGGAGTAATTACTGCCAGTGCCTGGATCCATAGGTCCCTGCTGTTATCTTTTATTGCTTAGTACAGACACTGTGGGCCCTGCAGGACAGCAGCAGCAGCAGCAGCAGCAGCAGCTGAATTCATCACATGCCTTCCACTGATCAAGCAACTCTGACCGGCTTCAGCTAGCTCCAGTCCGAATCTCCAGAGGACTATAGTTCTGTACTCCTTACAGCCTTTCACTGCATTTCTAGCACTATCTAGCACTCTTTCTAGTTACTATCATGAAACAACGTGAGCCCTAAGAGTTTGGGGATTGTGGCTTTATTCAAAACAGTTGCTAGTCTTTGCTAAATGAAGTAACTGCCCAATAATTCACATAAATGCATTTATTTAAGGAAGGTGAAGTTCTCCAATCCTGATCTGTAATTCTAGTAAACGTTCACTGCGGTCATAGCTCCAGAAAATAAAGAAATTCTTTAAATAATGTTTATTAAGTTCAGGGTGATCTAGGATTGATCACAGAGTGTGGGACTAAGAAGAGCGTCGGATCCAATCCTTTATAGTCTCTAATCAATAGTTGTAATCATGTGAGTATGTTCCTTTTCCAGTTTTACCTTTTACAATTTTTAAATAATTTTCAAACATTACAATCTGGGGCTGAAGAGATATCTCAGAAGTTAAGAGCACTTCTTTCTCTTCTAGGAGACCTGTTTTTGAGTTTAAGTACCCACACGGTGGCTCACGATAGCTGTAACTCCATTTCTAGGGGATCTGACACTCCTTTCTGACCTCCGTAGACACTAGACGTGCACATGGTACATAGATACTCAGATAGGCAGAACACTTACACATAAGATAAAAACCCGTAAACAAGTTTAAATCACAAACACTTTTCTTATTTAATTTTTATTTTATTAAGTCTGCATAGGTGTTTTGCCTGCATGTATGTCTGTGCAACCCTTGCATGCAGTATCCATAGACACCAGAAGAAGGCATTGGGTTCCCTGGGACTGGAGTTACAGACAGTTGTGAGCCTCCATGTGGGTGCTGGAACTCAAGGCTGGCTCCTCTAAAAAAGAAACACGGGCTCTTTTGTTGTCATTGTTTTGGTTTTTTCGAGACAGGGTCTCACTCTGTAGCTCTGGCTGTCCTGCAACTGCTCTGTAGACTAGGCTGGCCTTGACCTCACAGAGATCTGCCTGCCTCTGCCCTTAGCTCCATTGGAGGGAGAGGAGAGGGATGGAAAGGGAGATTTTCCTGTGAAAAAATAGGACTTACATAGGCCACTTGCTGGGCTTAGCCCGACTCTATTTGCCATTATGTTTCATTCGTTCAAGCTTCAGTAAAAAGCATTCATTACAGCAGAAGTGATGTGTCTCTGAGTTCAAATCCCAGCTCTACCACTTGCCAGCTGGGTCATCTTAACCAAGTTGTGTATTTTTTTCTGAGCTTCAGTTTCCTTATCTATAATGTGAGAATGGAGGCTCTTGTGCTTACCTTTCCTTATCATTATTTATTTATTTGTTTATTTTGGGGGCAGGGCTTCTCTATGTTTCTTTACATTCCCAGGCCCAGCATTCTTAATTGTTTCCTAAATTGAAATCTTTTTTTGTTTGTTTTTGGCTTTTTGTTTTTTGTTTTTGTTTTTTGAGACAGGGTCTCTCTGTGTAATAGCCCTGGCTGTCCTGGAACCTGCTCTGTAGACCAGACCGGCTTTGAATTCATAGAGATCTGCCTGTGTCTGCCTCCCAAGTGCTGGAATTAAAGGCGTGCACCACCATTGCCTGGCAAAATAAAAAATTAAAAAAGTAATTCTGTTGTAAAGAAAAATTGGTACCTTCTGCTCTCTCTTCCATATCCAGCATTCTCCTGGGGTGCAGCCTGCAGATGTAAAGGAGGTCGCTGAGAAGGGTGTGCAGACTCTTGTGATTGGCAGAGGAATGAGTGAGGCCTTGAAGGTAGGTTCTGCTGTCTACAACATTTCTGAGGACAGACATTTATCCCTTGGACCTTAGCTTTCATAGATACCTCCTTCATTGGAATTCAGCTCTACATATCATGTTTTCTCATTTTACTGAGCAATAAAGTGGCCTAGGATGAGTAAGACTGCATACTGTAGCTGGAAGGTTTCTCAGGTTCTGCCCGTCCCCATCCCCGTCCCAGTCCCGAGTTCCTGTCCAGCTCTGTGGTCCTTCAGTTGCTTATAAAATAATCATTCAGAGGTTTACTATTAATTACCAATTGCATGGCCTATGGCAGGCTTTTTGCTAGCTAGCTCTTATAACTTAACCCATTTCTATTAATCTATAAGTTGCCATGTGGCTGTGGCATTACTGGTCTGTTGGCATCTTGCTTCTCCTTCAGCTGCGGTGGCGACTGGCGTCTCTCTCTCTCTCTCTCTCTCTCTCTCTCTCCCGTTTCTTCTGTGTATCTGCTTGGATTTCCCACCTACCTCTAAGCTGCCTTGCCATAGGCCAATGCAGCTTTATTTCATCAACCAATCAGAGGGACACATATTCACAGCTTACAGAAAGATATTCCACAGCAGCATGCACTACTCCACTTTGTCAGAATGGGGGCTTTCCAAGTCTGCCCAACCCTGATTGTGTTTCAGCTGTCTCTCACAAATTCTCAGTTCCAGAATTTCTCATGCTCTGCAGTTATCCAGTCAGTCAGTCATGTGTTGGTCAACAGCAGGGATCCATTCTGAGCAGTGCATTGTTCTTTATCACTGTGTGAACATGTGTGTGCTCACAGGGCAGCAACAGTGTCAGTAGGTGATGTACTTATAGAACCCCTCTTAAACATGGGGTCCATTGTTTGCTGAAAAGCCATTAAGAGGCACATTGGAGGCACATATTTGGTCCTTGAACCTTTGGGCCTCTTGCCCCTACATCCTGAATGCTAGGATTATAAGTATGCACTATCACACAGTTTATGCCATGCTAGGGATTAACTCAGGGCTTCTTGCATGCTAGGCAAGTACTCTACCTTGAGCTCCATCTCCAGTTCTTTATCATTTTTATTTTTGTTTAGTGTTTGACAGAGTCTTTCTCTGTATCCCTGACTGGCCTGGAACTTGCGTGATCCTCCTGCCTTTACCATCTAAGTGCCAGAAGTAGAGGCATGAACTACTATGCCTAGCTTACTGCTTCGTTCATGCCTCTACTTCTAGCACGAACGAAGCAGCCCTGAAGGGATGACTCAGCACTTAAGACCATTACAGAGAACCTACATAATGACTCAGCACTTAAGACCATTACAGAGAACCTACATAATGACTCAGCACTTAAGACCATTACAGAGGACCTACACAATGACTCAGCACTTAAGACTATTACAGAGGACATACACAGTGACTCAGCACTTAAGACCATTACAGAGGACCTCACAATGACTCAGCACTTAAGACCATTACAGAGGACCTACACAATGGCTCACAACAGGAACACTCGAAGAGGATCCACATGATGGCTCACAACTATCTATAACTCAATCTCCAGGAATCTGATACCCTCTTCTGGTCTGCAAAAGCACTAGGTATGAATGTGGTGCATAGACATACATGCCAGCAAAACACCATACACATGAAATTAAATAAAAAATTAAAATATGTGTGCCTAAAAAAAGATTTATTGATTTTTATTTTCTGTGTAGTTGTTTCATCTGCATGAACATCTTTGCACTATGTATGTGGCTAGTGGAGGCCAAAAGAGGGCAGATGCCAGGCTGGGAGTTACAGATGTTTGTGAGATTTCACATAGGTATTAGGACTCAAACCAGGGTCCTCTGCAAGAACAACAAGGGCTCTTAATGGCTGAACCATCTCTCCAGCCCCCTCTAGCATGCTTTTCAATTGATGGTGGTAACAAAACCTCATTCACCTTATTTATCTCAGTGTCTTCAATGCCTGGAACAGTGTCTGAGCTGTAGAAAATACTTTAATTATTCATAAATACAGTTATAAAGATGCTATCCCATTTGTTTGTTTATCTCAGTGTCTTCAACACCTGGAACAGTGTCTGAGCTGTAGAAAATACTTTAATTATTCATAAATACAGTTATAAAGATGCTATCCCATTTGTTTGTTTGTTTGTTTTTTGAGTGGAGGTCTCCCAGTATAGCCCTGGCTATCCTTGAACTCACTTACTATGTGTATTAGACTGACCTCAAACTCACAGAGATCTTTTTGCCTGCACGTATGTCTGTGCACTGGTTGCATTCAGTGTCCATGACAAAACACCATACACATAAAATAATAAAATAAATATAAATTTTCCTTAAGTTAAAACACCCAAAACTAGATAACTTCAGATAAATACTGTAAGCAAAATGGTGCCTTAAGAGAGGTTGCTTGGGCTGGAGAGATGGCTCAGATGTTAAGGGCACTGGCTGCTCTTCCAGAGGTCCTGAGTTCCATTCCCAGCACCCACATGGTGGCTCACAACCATTTGTAGTTAGATCTAGTGCCCTCTTCTGGTCTGTCTGCCTGCATGCAGGTAGAACACTTGCATACATAATAAATAAATCTTGAGAGAGATTGAGATTGCTTATGAGTGGTCCATTCTCCATACCAGCCTCCACTGTGCACTCTGAGAAGACATTTGAGTTGCAGAGTATATAGAGTGTCAATGGCATCCTCATCCAAACCCTGTGATTTAAGTATTGTTAGCCCTGCTTTACAGGAGAGGAAACCGGAAGGTTCAACACATTTAAAAGCTAGTGGAAGGTCTTGTGGCTTGGCACCTGGCAAGTTTGACTTTAGACTTAAGTTGCACTGATTAAACTTCAGAAATTTACACAGCATGGGATATGCACTATGTTAGACATTTTTTGCACCTTAACTCGGTTCTCTTAACAAGCCTGTGAGCTTGACTCGACTATCCTTGATTTATAAACACAGAAGTGTGTACTGAATTTGATTCCTTACTCACCATTCCACTGCCAGAAGGGCTTCAACCTAAGCCTCAGTCCGAAGTCCTGCATTCCCCTCCCTTTTCACCAAGGGCTAAAGCGTGAGTGTGAGACATTTGGGAACGCAACAGTGGTTTGGTCTTCCTACCCTGGGGCTGGGGAGCAAACTCAGGGCCTCATGCATGCACACACACTCTGAAGCGCTGCAGTAGTACCCCAGCTGCTCGGGAGCTTTTCTGGAACTCACTGGGGCTCCCTGCCAAGTTTTGAGTGGTGACACACTGGGTGACAGAGGTGACAGGTGCTCTGTCTAATTCAGTAACATGCACTTGCCTTATGACAGGAAAAGAAGTTTCTGAGGCCCCTTTCCCCCTTCTCACTCATCTCTTCCCCTTCTTCCCAGGTGCCTCCATCCACTGTGGAGTACCTCCAGAAACAAGGCATTGATGTGCGGGTCCTCCAGACAGAGCAGGCAGTGAAGGAGTATAATGCCTTGGTTGCCCAAGGGGTAAGAGTAGGAGGCGTCTTCCATTCCACCTGCTGATGGAGTCACAGAGAATAAAGCACTAAGCAACAATGCCTTGACTGTCTCTCTTACCATTCTCCATAGCAGCCTGCGCTGTGCATGATGAACATGGGTATATGTTCTTGGGGGAGATTGACAGAAGACTAATGCAGAGTTCCTGCCCTTCAGGTTGCTTAAATCAGAGAGTTAGTTACTGATGTTTAGTAGTGGAGTATGTAGTAGATCAAAAGTATAAGAAACTTCATACAAAAACAAAGGTTGAAAAAGTTCAGAGCATTAAAGATCTCACCACAGTCGATGCTTTGGAACCTTTACCCATTAATCCAACTTTTTGTTTGGCTTGGGGTGTGGTGGATTTGAGATGGGATCTCTCTACACAGTCCTGGCTATGTACAGTGCTGGAACTTGCTTTGTAGACCAGGCTGGCCTCAAACTCACAGAAATCTGCCTGCCTCTGCCTTGTGAGTACTGAGATTAAAGGCGTGCGCCACCATGCCCAACCCAACTATTTTTTTTTATTTATTATGTATACAATGTTCTGTTTGCATGTATTTCTGTAGGCCAGAAGAGGGAGCCAGATCTCATTACAGATGGTTGTGACCCACCATGTGGGTGCTGGGAATTGAACTCAGGACCTCTGGAAGAACAGCCAGTGTTCTTAACCTCTGAGCCATCTCTCCAGCCCCCCCAACCCAACTATTTTTTTTTTTTTTTGGTTTTTCGAGACAGGGTTTCTCTGTGTAGCTTTGCGCCTTTACCTGGATCTCGCTCTGTAGACCAGGCTGGCCTCGAACTCACAGAGATCCGCCTGCCTCTGCCTCCCGTGTGCTGGGATTAAAGGCATGCGCCACCACTGCCCGGCTATTTTTAAAGCACTTTATATGCCAGACACTGCTGTAGGCTCCAGAGAAATAGCAAAAATGATTTGTTTTCATGATGCTTATATGCTAGGGCAGAAAGTAAGTCAACAGATAAAGGCTGTATATAAAATCAGTTTTGAGCCGTACGGTGGTGGCGCACGCCTTTAATCCCAGCACTCAGGAGGCAGAGGCAGGTGGATCTTTGTGAGTTCGAGGCCAGCCTGGGATATTGAGTGAGTTCCAGGAAAGGCACAAAGCTACACAGAGAAACCCTGTCTTGAAAAACGAAAAAACAAAAAAAAAAAAATCAGTTTTGAAAAGTGGGATGAGTGATGGATGCTATTTCACATATGTGCTCATGGAAGATCTTTGTGCAGATGACATCAACAAAACACGAGGACACTTGAGTGACAGCGGAAATATGCTCAGAGCTAGCTTTGAGGTAGGTTCTAGACTCAGCTAGACAGCTCTCAGATCCCCTAAATATGAAATGCTAGGGATGGAGTAGATGTCTGTTTCAGGGTTTCTATTGCTGTGATAAAACACCATGACCAAAAGCAACTCGAGGAGGAAAGGGTTTATTTCAGGTTACAGCTTGTAGTTCATCGTCTAGGGAAGTCAGGGTAGGAACTCAAGGCAGGAACCTGGAGGCAGGAGCTGATGCAGAGGCCCTGGAGGAGAGCTGCTTACTGGCTTGCTCCCCATGGCTTGGTTAGTCTGCTTCTTTACACCATCCAGGACCATCTGCCCAGGGATGGCACCGCTCACAGAGAGCTGAGCCCTTCCACATCAATCATCAATCAAGAAAATGTCCTATAGACTTGCTTATAGGCCAATCCTATGGAGGCATTTTCTCCATTAAAATTTCTTCTTCCTGCCTTTAATCCCAGTACTCAGGAGGCAGAGGCAAGTAGATCTCTGAGTTCGAGAGTAGGTTCCAGGACAGCCAGGGATACACCGAGAAACTCTGTCTCAAACAAAACAAAACAAAACAAAACAAAACAAAACAAAACCCAAAACAATTCCTTCTTCCCAGATGACCTTAGCTTGTGTCAAGTTGACATAAAAACTAGCCAGCACAATGGCCACAGGCTCAGATAGTTTTTTTTCTATTATTTAATAGAAGAGGTGGCCTTTGTGAAACCTCAGACTATATTGAGAGAACTTTAAACCATCAGCGTCCTTGTTTTTGCTTCTTATTTTTAAAAATTGTATTTTATATGTGTGGATGTTTTGTCTGTATGTATGTTTGTGTACCATGTGTGTGAGAGGCCAGAAGAGGGTGTTGGATCCTATGGAACTGGAGGTACAGATGGTGTGAGCCACCATGTGAGTGCTGGGAATTGAACTCTGCTCCCTGGAAGAGTAGTTAGTGCTGTTAGCCTCTGAGCCATCTCTCCAGCCCCTAGTTTTTCCTTTCTAAAGAACTCTTTAGAGCTGAGTATGGTGGCACATAGCTGTAACCCCAGCATTTCAGAGGCAGAGGCAGGAGGTTTGAGCTTGAAGGTAAGTTGGGCGACATAGCAAGACCCTGTTTCAAAGTAACAGCACAGCGGGAAAATGGTTGTGAGTGTAGGCTCTGTTGTCAAGTAGCCTTGGTTTTGAAGTACAGTTCTCTGTGAGTCATTGGGAGGAGCTTTATTTATAATCTCTCAGTTTCACTGTTTCTGTCTGTCAGAACCCGGTATCAGTGTAGGTATTATATGATAATGTGCAGTAACTCTTCTCTCGTTGTCTGGCATGTGTTAAAGATTCAATAAACCAAAAGTCATCATCATTCCATCAGTGGATCCAAGATGAACCAACTAGTTTCATTTTATGATTATTACATAGCATCTTCTTACTCTACAGATTTACAGGATGTTGGAACCCAATGGAATTGTCTCACTCAGCAATTACCTCCCTTGCTTACTTACTGAAAATCTATTACTAAAATTCTTAGGACCTGCCAGGCAGTGGTATCACATGTCTTTAATCCCAGCACTCAGGAGGCAGAGGCAGGTGGATCTCTGTGAGTTCAAGGCCAGCCTGGTCTACAGAGTGAGTTCCAGGACAGGAAACTGTCTAAAAAAAAAAAAAAAAAAAAATTCTTAGGACCAGTTGTTGCTGGATGCTAGGCGTCTGGAGAGGTACAACTTACAGTTCTTAATCTTAAAGATATGTGGGGACTGGAGAGATGGCTCAGGGGTTAAGAGCACCAACTGCTCTTCCAGAGGTCCTGAGTTCAATTCCCAGCAACCACATGGTGGCTCACAACCATCTGTAATGAGATCTGGCGCCCTCTTCTGTATACATAATAAATAAATCTTTAAAAAAAAAAAAAAGATATGTGGAAAAGTCAGGCAGGGCAATACACACTGCAACCCAGCACTGCAGAGGTGAGGAGGGGAAATCCACACATCGCAGGCCAGCATGGTCTGCATAGCAGGTTACAGGTCACCCAGGGTTACATGGTAAGATCATGTACCGACCCATCCCTAGAATGTTATGTGAAAGAAACAGACAACCCCACAATAGTTACAAGTGTAAAGAAAGGGTAAATTTAGCTTGATCAGGATGGGAAGAAAATTAGGAAGGACACCACCACCAAGGAGACGAAAGCTGAGTCTCTGGAGAGACTCAGCAGCTAAGAGCTGGCCTCTTCCAGAGGATCAGAGTTCTAGCACCCACAGGGCAGTTCACAGCAGCCTGTAAATCCAGTCCCAGGAGATCTGACACCCTCTTCTGGCCTCCATGGACACTGCTCACATGTTATACAGACATACAATAGGCAAAACACTCATACACATAGTAAATAATAAATAATTGGGAAAAGATACTTAAATGCCTATTAGCTCACCAGATTTACTTGGCAGCTGCCTGAACTAGACTTTTACTAGATGTTGTATTTATCACATCTATAGTGAAATAAAATCATTCTACCTTAGCTGACGTTAAAGCAATAGCCTTAAAAGCCTGATTTTTTTGCTCTGAGCTACGTGGGTGGTCCAATTAGGCATCTTTAAAAAATTTTTATTTTACAAACATTTTAATACATAAAATCACAGTAATTTATAAACGAATCACAGTGGGAGCCTGTACCAGCACCCCCTAGGAACTGTAAAGACGGGTAGAGCAATGCGCGATCACACCTTCAGTATCTGCACATGCCCAGGCAACTGTGTGCTGGCCTCAAGGTGCCTGAGCCCTGCCTCTTGCCTCTGGTCATCCTCAAGTGTAAAGACCTGGATTAAGTTCAGAACAGAAGGTAGAGATGGACAGGTCCTCGGAAGGGAGAGAAGCAGGAGACCGCTACTTGCTCTGTACCAGCCATCTGACTCAAGGTCACGCCCACTCCAGGAGGACTGGCCATTCCCTCTCCTCGTCAGGAGGCTAGCAGAAGGCCCGCAGCAGCACAAGGAGGGGAGCTGGGGAAGGGATGACTGGTTTGGAATAGTTAGCAGCCTCAAATGAGGCAGCTGCTCGTGGATGCCTCGTGGGAGCCAATCTGTAGATTAGGGAGCAATTTAAGATGTACCTTATAAGGCCAGACAACTAGCCAGGCGGTGGTGGCATACCCCTTTAATCCCATCACTGGAGAGGCCAACATGGTCTACAGAGTGAGATCCAGGACAGGCACCAAAACTACACAGAGAAACCCTGTCTCGAAAAAAAAAAAAAAAAAAAGACTAGAGTGAACTGGAGATACTGTTTCAACTTCACCCGGAAACTGACCAGGTCAGGTTAGCACTAGCACTGTGTTCTCATCTCTGTCCAGCGATATACCTCCTAGTGCCCTGGAGGTCACTGTGGGTTCCTCACAGACTTGACAGCCACTGTAGATCTGGAGAGGTCCTTCTTAGTGCCCTTGTCCGATGACTGACAGGATCTTTCTAGCTATGGACCCTCAGCTTATGTAGCTATGCGGGAATCTTTGGTAATGTAATCTCTGTCCCCTCGCCTCCCTCACAATCTAAATTAACATGACTCCAGTGGGTATTGAATCAGGTATGGTTGTAATTACAACCTGCACTGTCCCTACGTTATTAAAAACAAAATGAGGAGGAGGTGGGGGAAGCGGTTAAAACTCCTTTGACTGAGAAGTATCTGGCAGTTTGGTCATTATACGTCATATAAAAGCTGCTATTTCCAAATCTGGTCTACACAGAGAACATGGAGAAGCTCTTCTTCTGTGAAGTTATATGTAGTCCC